ATAATAGTAAATTGGGGAGGACAGCAAAAACTCAAGCCAGCATGCTTCTGAAAGGCCCTAAGCAATTTGGAGAGGGCCAGAGAACGCCAGGACAGTCTGAAAGAAACCAGAAACATGACAAGAGATAAAAATAAAAAAAATCTCCAGCTGCTCAACCGGAGAAAATAAGCCCAGGAGAACTAAACACTGAAGAGAACAAGCACAGTAACCATCCTCTACTCGACACAGCATCAGCCGAAATTAAAAAGTACCTACATGATCTCATAGAGGAATTTAAAGCTGTACTCCTGATCCAAGTGAGGCAAGATATAAAGAGATTAATTAAAGAAATGACAAGCCCCGCCCAAGAGAACACAGATGGAAGAACTGAGGAAATCAGAAAAGAAAGAGAAGCATCTGAAGAAGAATTTAAGCATAACTTAGAATATGTGAAACAGATCCAAAGAGAATATCAGGAAACTAAAAACTCCATTGAACTCTGGCAAAATGCCTTGACAGAAACTAAAGACAGCCTTCTGAAACTTGAAGAGAGATTTAGGGCATATAACATGAAAGAAAAAGCCTCTTAAAAATAACAAGGAACCAGAAAGAAGCAATTCTAAAACTGGAAGATGACAAAAAGATACATAACCTAAGAATAAAAAATGTGAGTGAGGAAGCAGGAACATCCAAAAATGAAATACAAAAAATATTCACAGATATATTAAAGCAAAATTTCCCATGTATAGCAAAAAGAAATGATATCCAGATAAAAGAAGCATACAGAACGCCAGCTACCTACAACCAAAACAGATGTACGCCTAGACATATAATTTAAAAGACACAGTAGTCCTAGTGCCATATTTAGATTGAATTTAATTTGTTCTGGTCTGTCCACTCATGTCAGATTCGAGGACACAGACCTCTAGAACCAAAAATAGCAGGTTATAACGTGGTAACTATCCTTACTTTCCTATTGACTTAGGCTGAAATCCTGTATTACTTACATTGTCTTACTATGACTGATCTTAATTGTATCTGAATCATAAGACTATTGGTTGGCCTTGAATGATTCTATTTGAAATTGGTATGCTTGTTAGAATCAACCCTAAAAGTAGAGGAAACTACTCTGAGCATGACAAGATGTAAAGGATATCCATACTGGTATGAATCAGTAACAGCTCTCAAATACTACAATGCAGTCAAAGTTAAGTTTTTATAAAAATAGGTGATAGTATGTTTAACTATAATAAGCCAGTGTTGTGGACAAATCTATTGAAAATAACAAGAGAAAACATAGTAGCTACGGAAGATCATTTATATTGTAGTTGTATATGTCTTATTCATTGTATGTTTTCCTAGGAAATTGTTTTGCTGTCTTGTTATGACCTGGTTTTCCCTATAATACATAGAGGATAGATATATAGGTAGAAATTCACACATGGTTTTTTTTTTCTTTTTTTCTTAAATTATTTACGGGAACAGATTATATAATGCAAGATGTAAGGAACAAATACTCTGAGGAAGAGACGCTGAGAAACCCGAGGCTTATTTTGTAGCATTATAATATAAATTCTAGCAATCTATTGTTTGCTGATTAGAATGACATTGGACTGGTTTCTTCAGTTCAACTTCAGCATATGCAGAGATGGGGACGGCTATAACAAAGAGAATGAGAGATGCGATGGTAGTTGCTATTGTCTTCCCTAATTTGGAACTTGAGGACCTAAAAAGACTTCATCATCCTGTAATGATTTGATTAGTTCTATAATATGCAATAAGTATATAAAGTGGGTGAAGATAGGGACAACTATTTGTAAGAAGCTAGAGACAGATAATGAAGATCTCCAGTGGACTTGCTTTGAAATCTGTATTTCTTTAAATTGTTTTTTATTTATTTATTTTTTTAAATATTCTGTTCTGTTTTGATATGGTTAATCTTACCCTCTTTGAGATGTAAAACAAATGTGTAGGACTGATAATCATATTACGGAGCTTTTGTTCGATCATAGAGCAGAATGGTTTGTAGGGTCACTTTTTTGAATGTCATTCTAAATACTTTAATTCTATAACCTGAACAGCTATTTCGAAGATGACAATTTGTAACTTATCAACCGGCAATTTCTTACCTTTTGTTTGTCTGTAATTTTGTATTATTTCTACCCTTTTTTTTTTATCTCCATGTATTTTTTTTTTCGTTTCCTTTTCTTTAAATAAAAAAAAATAAAAAATAAATCCTTGCCCTCATAGGAGATCTCATCACCACCAGGTTCATTACTGGCTGAGCTACTTTGACTTGCTTCTGAAGATGGCTGGGGCTTGGGGCCCACAACCCTCATTAAGCAATCTTCAGAGTTCCAAGTCTCATGAGAGGTTTCAATAAAATAGTCTTTGCACTTGTAGACACGGAGGCCACGTATAGTGTACCTCCTGAGTTTTTAGTCCATTATACTAAATGCTTGGTCTCTGTGGTGGGTGTTGACAGCCAACCTACACAGCCTCTTCAAACAGAGCCATTCCATGCACATTCCCAACTCTCTCCTTTACCCATAGATTCCTAGCAATTCCACTATGGCCCACACCCCTTTTAGGTAGAGATTTTCTCCAAAAGCTTAACTTGTCCTTTGCCTTCTCCCTCCCCACAGCTTTCCTCCTCCAGATACCCTCACAGTGCACCACAAAGCCATCCCTTCCTTCTACTCTGGTCCATCCCATAGTTTAAAACACCTCCAACCCCACCCACAATACCCATGCTATACCTGTTTTAAATCGTCTCAGGGATCCCTCAATTTTTCCTTGCGTTCCCCAATATCCTTTCACTCTCAAACATTTCAAGGGACTTAAACTTATAATCAAGCTTCTTTTAAACGATGGTTTTCTTAAACCTACCCATTCGGCCTACAATTCTTCAATTCTCCCAGTACTCCAGTCTGATGGGTTCTATCATCTAGTACAGGACCTTACGATAGCCCATGATGCTGCTACCCCAATACACCCACTGGTGCCAAACCCTTGTACTATGCTCTCTCGTGTCCCTCCCTCCACCACTCACTTCATAGTCCTAGACCTTCGAGAGGCCTTTTTTTTTATCATTCACCCTTACATCTTGATTGTCAGGATTCCTTGCTGTTTATGTAGACCGACCCAGACACTCTCAGGTCTCAACAACTTACTCACACCTAGAACCACACTTCAGAGTCTCAAATCATTCCCTTGCTTTCATACTCATCAATTTCTTGGACACACCCCTGGTCAGGACTGACAGGTAGATTTTACACTCATTCCCCATCACAAAATGTTCAAGTATCTTCTTAGCTCTGTCTGTGGATGGATAGAAGCATTGCCAAAACCAGGGAGACGGGGCTGGGGATTTAACTCAGTGGCTTAAGCACCTGTCTTGCAAGCAGGTGGTTGTGAGTTCAATTCCCAGTACCGATAAAAAGTAAAAAAAAAAAAAAAAAAAAAAAAAAAAAACCCTAGGACTCTACTGATGTAGTTACTAAAGTCCTGTTACAGGAAATCATCCAAAGTGTATCTCAGAGTGTATCCCTCAGATAATGGTTCAGGCTTTATTTCTCAGATCCCTCAACAGGACTGCAGCCAAGGTGGAGTGGCCCCTACCTGGTCTTCCTAAGGACTTCAATGGTGATCAAGGTTGCTGGGCTGCCATCCTGATTCCAAATCACTCAAGCTCAGCAGTGCCCTCCTAGCCCTACCTGCCCTGACTTTAAACATCCTGAGTGGTCATCACATTTCCTATTTCCCACCCATTTCTTCTTACCAAGGTCCCACGGCCACAACTTTCAGTTGAGGTCATTTTTTGTTATCTTATTTGGTTCCTAATCCCTTGCAGGAAACCCTACTGGGTCTAGGATCTCCTCCAACTTACAGTGACACAGCCACGGCCCTCCCCTCCCCTGCTCTACAATCTCCCAGACATGATCCACCTGTCAGGCCTTACCTTTCTACTGCTTCCAGTCTCTCCAGCTAGAGCCCTGGACCACAGACAGGCCCTACCTACACTTTTACCTTTACCCTTTCAGATGGGGAACAATCACCTCCCATTACTCCAGCCCTCCCAACTCCATGCTGTGTTTCAGGCTCTTCTTCCCTAAGGCCCTGATGGAACCACACATTTGGATCCAGGGCACCTTTCCTGATACCTCCCCTTGGTCCTTTAACTATGAAGGTGGCCAGCCTCCTCATACACCTCATGAACCTTGTCTCTTCATTTCTCCAATCTAGGATGTGAATGTTATCCCAGCTGAAACACCTGGTACCAGCTTTTATATGGGCATCAAGTGTCATCCTCTCGACCCCCAGACCCAACATGACAGCCCTGTTCAGGAGGAAGAAATAAGAGAGAGTCTTTACCCTTTTCCGAACAATAAAAAGATGGAAATAAATTAGTTTTGCCCTAGAATAAATTTGCCCTAGAATAAATTCAGGACATTATGCTGATAGTTCAACATGGTGGAAGGCCAAATGGGGGATGCTGACCCTAATGGCCACTTCCTCCTTCTTCCCCGATGATAACTTCCTCCTTCCTTTCTCTGTGCATGCAAAGAAAATTCCAATCAGCTCCTTGCATGACATCAATGCGTGCCCCAAGCACCACGTCCGATGAGAGGTGACATATAACACACACCCTTGTGTCCCGGAGTGTAGAAAGGCAAACCCTTGCTGGTTATGGGCTTCTCTCCATGTCTTGTAAATACAAAGGCTACTTTTACTATTTCTTATATTCTGCTCCTGACCTGTGCCAGAAAACTCTAAAAGGAGCAAGAAAGAAAACCACAAGTTGTTAAGGAAGAATGATGTTGATCCATCCAACAATCAGGAAAGGGAATGATGCATTGTGTCTGCCAGGGACACTTCCCCAGGGAAACACACTCACCTAATTAGGTAATTGCCTACTTTTTAACACAAACAACAACAAGGGAAGAGGACCCTAATAATGACAGAAAGCACTTAGCAGGGTATAAAAGAGGCCCAGGGCAGGGAGGCTTCCACTCCTCACAGACCTCCACCTCACAAACCACCCAGAACCTCAGCCCGACAACACCATGGTCAACTCCTGTTGTGGCTCCCTCTGCTCTGAGCAGGGCTGGGGCCAGGAGAGCTGCTGCCAGCCCAGCTGCTGCCAGCCCAGGTGTTTCCAGACCACCTGCTGCAGGACCACCTGCTGCCAGCCTAGCTGCTGTGTGTCCAGCTGCTGCAGACCCCAGTGCTGCCAGTCTGTGTGCTGCCAGCCCAGCTGCTGCATCTCCAGCTGCTGCAGGCCCCAGTGCTGCAGGCCCAGCTGCTGCATCTCCAGCTGCTGTAGGCCCCAGTGCTGCCAGCCCACCTGCTGCATCTCTAGCTGCTGCCGCCCTAGCTGCTGTGTGTCCAGCTGCTGCAGGCCCCAGTGCTGCATCTCTAGCTGCTGCCAACCCAGCTGCTCTAGCGCCTCGTGTTGCTGAGAGCATGGCCCTGCCTGCTAGGGTGCTTCATCACTAGTCAGCCCTGGTGTAGACCGCTGGGCAGCTGAGTTATGAGGGGGGATTATGAAACCTCAGCTCCACCTGGGATTGCTTTTGGCCTCCACATGTTGACCCTCCACCCCGTTATGGGCTCACAAATGTATACCTGTTTAAACTCTGTCAAATACTCTGGGATCCCTATGGAAATATCTGTTTTCTCCCCCATGTTCTTACCTAGAAATATCCTAACCTCTTAAATAAACGTGAAGTTTTCAGACAACCTTCATAAAGGCATCCTGCCTGCTTGTTTTTCCTTCTTGAATCATTGTCCTTAGGCACCCATCATTCTCAGCAGAGTCCCTGCAGCCCTCCACACTCCTCATCCTCAGACAGGAAGGAGGTTTTCAGCACCTGCAGGCTCCTGGCTGAGGATGTGCCCTAGCGGAGGAGCAGGCTCTGGGCAGGAGAGCAAAGCTCTGGGAGCAGAGCTCACTCTGGGCCAGGGAAGTGGGAAACGAGGGCTCTCGCTGGCCTCCCTTGGAGAAGGGGTAAAGGGTGGCAGTGGGGCAGCAGTTGGGCATGGAGGGACCCAATGTGGATTGCAGTCTGGCAGTGGCCCCTGGAGGGATGTGCCATGCTGCTGCTTCCAAGGACATGCCAGTCTCTGTCATTTTACCTGAGTTCCTGTGCCCTCCATCATCTTCCAGGTTCCCCACAGCACTTCCTTTGATCTTTTCTGAGTAAATCAATTTCTCTCCAACCCTGGGGTGTGGGACTGCAGCCCATGGCTTCTTCCTGAGACACCCACTGTCCCCTTTTCGGTGGCTCTTGACAGCCTATCATGCAGTGTGCCTAGTTCTTGGGTTGGACCCTGAACTTGGGTTTACTGTCCCAGAAAGGAGTGAATCTCCTGCTTTCCAAGTTTCTGCCTTGGGCAGGGTTGTTTTTAGTGGTTTATCTTGAATGCTCTATCTTGACACTCCTGGATCTGAGGAATAGTGAACAACACCTGGGCCATTCTCGACTTAAGGCAGGCTGTGTTCAGCAGACATCGCACTCGTCTGTGTGTGCGGGAAGCTGTGTGTCTGGTTGTGGTTTGCTAAGCTCTCTGTGCCTAGCTGGGTAAAATACAAACAAAACATTAAAAGGGACTCTTTCAGGAAAGATTTATAAAGAAACTTGTCCAGGTGAAATCTAGGACTCCCAGCATGAAGAGAAGCAGAGACAATGTGCATGCTCCGTACCTTCTATCTCATGGAACGCCGGGAGTCCCAGAGCGTGGGGTCTCAGACCTGCGTGTTCCAGGGGCCAGGAGGCTAAAGTGCGAGCTCCTGCTCGGTTACCTCTTGCTGCAGTCCACCCTGGGCAGAAGAGGATGCAGTCAGAGCGGCAACTCCATGGGAAGCAGCGCTGATAGCCAAGGACAGTCACCAGGAGAGGAGAGCACCTGTACCATGCCCCATCTAGGTTGAGCAGCCCTGCAGCTTCTGGACAGTGACCCAGTATGAAAAAGGAATCCGGAAGTATCCTGTCCTCCTGTTTCTCCCATTGATCTCCCTCCAGCTGGTTAGTTCTAATTACTAGAGAAAGTTGTCCAGGGTGCCTTGGTGTGGCCCTGTGGTGATTTGGCGACTTTTCTGGTGGTCTTCCAGGTGTTATCTGGACAGTTCTGAGCCTCTCCACACCATGTCCTTGTTGGATTGGAGCTGTTGTCCTCACCAATCCCCAGTTAAAATAAGACTGGAAATGCCAGGGAACACCAACCCTGGGGTCCCCTGAGTGCTCCATGCACTTTCCCCCTTGTCCAGGGTGTCCCAAACCTCTTCTTCCTCAGTTTAATTCAGGGGTCAGTAGAACCAGGTCCTTTAATCGTTACAGCAATGAAAAACCAAATCCAGCACAGTCCTGGCCAGAAATGCCAGTCTCCTGGATAGGTGGAGTAGAATTGAGGAGTCTCCATGTGCCACACACAGTGATACCGTGCAGACCAAGGCTTCCTTCCGCGTGGTTCTTGGCGTCTCCTTGTCTCTGGATCCAGGATCCCTATGTCCACAGAGACTAAATAAGGCTGTAAGGAGGTATCACAGGCCTCCCTAGAAGGGTCACAGGGAGTGTATGTGACAGAGATGGCTCTTCTTGTGGCACCTGAGCTTTCTGTATCCATGGATCTGAACCCAGGGACACAGTCCCATGTCATGGTCACTGGCTTCAGGTGTTGTGGAGTCCTGATGAACTGAGCTTCTTCCTTGCAGGTGTCATCCCCAAGCTGCCACCTTGGGGATGGAGTATAAGAGGTCCCGGCAGCTATTTCCACAATGGACCCACATACCTGTACACCCCAGTGGAAACAGCAAAGCAGCTTCCCAAGGAACTGGAGAAAGTTGTCTTGAAATCCCATGGAACCTGAAGAGACGTAGAGTAGGGAAAGTGATTCTGAGCAACAAGGCCAAGGCAGGAAGCGCACGATCCCAGACTCCAAGTTATACTACAAAGCTCCAGTGATTAAAAACCAAACCCAGCACAGTCCTGGCCAGAAATGCCAGGTTCCTGGATTGGTGGAATAGAATTGAAGAGGCTGGAATACCTGCAGGCCTGTTCAGCTTCCTCATCTCTGACACGGGGGCCAAATACTTTCCCGGAGGAAACCCGGCTGGGAAGTGATGCTGGGCAAACTGGCTCTCCAGCGCCACAACCTGGTCTGGGCCCACAGGTCTCACTGTGCACTCAACTGCAACCAAAATCCATCAGAGATCTAATATTAAAGAGGAACATTTACGTTCTTGGAATACAAAAAGGTAAAACTCCTGAAGACACAGGTGTCGGGAATGACTTTCTGAATGGAACCCTGGTTGCACAAGAAATAACATGAAGAATGAGCAAAAACTTAAAAACTTTCTGCACAGCACAGGAAACTAGAAACAGAGTGAAGAGGCAGCCTCCAGAATGGGAAAACATTTTTGCAGCTACTCTTCCAACAAAAGAATATATAAAGAACTAAAAAACCATTAGACCCAACCCAACTTTAAAGACCCAATTAAAAATGGGCAAACGAAGTGTGAAGGATCAGTAAATTCTCTACAAAAAATGTTCAATATCATTGGCCATTTGAGAAAAGTAAATTAAACAACATTGAGAGGTGTAATGGCCCCTCTCTGTAATCCCAATCCTCAGGAAGGCTGAGGCAGGAAAATTATCTTGAGTTCAAGGGTAGCCTGGGCTATGTAGAGTCCTTTCTCAAAAAACAAACAAAGAAATAAATAACTCCATATGTGCATATATGCATACAGACAAAACTGCACTGTGGTTCTGTTTCGTTCCAGAAAGAATGACCATCATCAAGAAATCAACCAATAACAAGTGCTGGAGAATCTGTGGTGAGCATGGAACTCCCTTGATCATGTTTTGGAGGGAGTGTAAATTGTCAAACCATTATGGAGATTCTTCAGACAACTAAGAAGAGGAATTCCATTTGACCCCCTCTAGGTGTCTTCCTGAAAGAGTTATAACCATAGCATTACAGTGGTGCACAAATATCCACATTTATAGCATCACAGTTCATAAACACTGAGCCTTGGAAACAGCCTATGTGTCCATCAGTACACAAATGGATAAAGAAAAGGTGGTACATATGTTCAATGGAGTACTACTCTGCCATAAAGAAGGGTGAATGCCAGTCATCTGTCATGACATGAAGTGAACAAAAATAGACGCAAAAGTTAAATGTTGCAAGGTTTCTCTTAGGGGAGGAATCCAACATTTTCACACATAAAGTGCAAAAAAAAATGAGAGACAATAGGGGAAAATAGAGAACGTGATCTTAACACAGCATGGACCATTGTGCTTTCCATGCTGTGCTGGTCTATTACCCTGGTTATTATTGTGTTCATAATAATTAACTGGATAGGAACTTTTAAACAAATAAATAAATCTGACTCTGGAAAACTCTTTAAAGGGGGTAAAGAGGAAGGAAAGAATAATTTAGAATGTCCCTCACACACACCAGCTCCCCACAGTGACCAAACACAGTGACGCCTCCGTTTGCAAACCTCATTCCTTTTCCGATTGTGGTCAAAAACTGAACTGGTAGGGAACCGCACCAAATTCAGTGGTTAGGGTCCTGGTGATCTCAAGAGGAATTTCCATGTGGTTTCCACCAGTTCAGCTGGTGGTCAGAATCATGGAAACAAGCCTGTTGCTCAAGGCTTTAATGACTTCTGCTTCCCCTGGGAGGTCGTGGCCTGAGACCCTGCAAGATGGAAAAGGAGACCTTGTACTAGACAGAAATGTAGAAAAAGGGTAATTTCTGCTCCAGCAGAAACCAAGCAGTTTATGGACGTCCACTTCTCCCTCATGGCAGCTTAGAGCACTTCTACAGAAGAGGGAATGTTCCAGACAGCTGAGTAGAAGCATTCTAGGCAGGGAGACAGGGCTGCATCCTGGAAGGAGCCAGTACAGCAGACCACATGCCTTGTAACTCTGGAGGAGACAGACCCTCTGGCCATGGGACAGAGCTCAGCATAAAAGATCAAACAAATGCAACCACACCCCAAGTATATACTTCAGGGACTGAGACTCTAAATAGGTCTCCATCACCTTGAGGAAGCCAGAGGGAGCCACTAACCCAACCCCCAGCCAATAACAACCCTGCTCTGTGTACATGCCTGCTTGCTATGGGACTCGCCTCCCCATTGGATCCTGATTTAATCAATTACACCTGAGTAATTAGACTTGTGATTTTATTGGTTGACTGTAGTTCTGTCCCACCTCATACTTGCCCTGTGAGTTCTCAAGTTTTCCCTACCACACACCTGCCCTGTCTTGAGATTTTGCTCTATATAATCCCTAGAAAAAACAAAATCTTTGGTAACCAACTCGGGACCCTTTCTGTCTCTCTCTCAGACAGAAGTTTCTCTCTCAAGAAATATATTCTACTCTTTAAAAATGTAAAATAAATACATGTATTGAAGGCAATTAAGGGTGTCACTATAGAGACCCTGATTCTTGCTAGACTCAGAGGGGACCCAGGATGGCCAGGCAGTGACCACCTCCACTCTGTTGCTGGAGGCCATTTTTGATCTTCTGATTTCACCTCCTACATGAAAAAGTGGGTATTGATGCATAATTTCCCCGTCTTTTTGAGACAGGGTCTCACTATGCAGTTCTGGCTGGCCTTGAGCTTTGTAGCCCCAGCTGGTCTTGAGCTCATAACGATTCTCCTGCCTCAGCCTCCTGAGTGCTGGGATTACAGGTGTGTGCCACCAAGCCAGGCTGAATTGATGCATTTGCTCTT